ATGAGGTATCCGAATACCGGCGTAAGGGCTCGCGATTCATTATTTTGTATTAGGCGTTTGCCCGGTTGAGTCGTTTTCATAAGTAGTACAAGCTCCTAATCGCGAAACCTACTGCCGCTTGAGAATTACAGCCCAATTCCGGACATCTAGGTAAGCCCCTCACCTAATATCGATTGTAAAGAATCCGAAATCGAGAGTAACGTACCGTGGGTTGTTGATCACCGGGCATGCCAATCACTGGCCGGTTCTGCAAAAGGTGACCGGAGGGTCGGCATTGAGCGTTAGTAAATAATTGTCTGAGCGAGGCGAAGCCGAGCGAAGTCTATACTTCGACTCATGTAATGCGCTTTTCTCGAGAATCATCATAGATAGAGCCTTCAATCTTCACACGTTTCAAGATCTAAATAAAAGCAACTTTAAGTTCAATATTGAGCAAAATCGGATAAAAATTAAAGGAGTTAGACTTAATTTTAGCCCAGGACGAGGTCTTTTCACTAGAAATAGCACAAATCTTGTCTTTTCTCCTTGGTGAACGTCTCATTAGACTATTTGAGGTTCTGACAAAGTCGAAAGGACTACTTTAATTAGTTAGGCGAATATCTTTGGTATCCCGGCTTTTTCTTAAGAGGTGTGGCGCCCTTGGCACCACATACGCCATTGCCTTTTCTGTTTTCTATATTATTTCTGTTTTCTAAAATTCTGTTTCCTCTTTTCTATCTTCTTTAGCTTTACGTTCTCTAATTGTTTTCACTTTCTATAGGGTCTCGACGGGGCCTGGTCAGTGTCAACGCTCAGGCCCTTGCGAACCTCTTCACTTTCTGTTTTATGATTCTCTTCCGCTGTACCTCTCCTTTTTCGAACTTTCAACGGTTTTTCTGGATTTTCCCACTTTCTATATTTTCTCTCTTTGTAAACTATTTCTTTCTTTTTTTACTCATGAGTTTTCGAGGAGAGGTTTTAACCAGCGACGGGACAGTCCGTCAGAGTCGTTCATATATCTTACATCGTTTTTACTGCTCGTACGTACCGTCAGAGTCATTCTTATAGCTTACATCGTTTTCACTGCTTGTACGCATTTTTTAATAAACTCGTGTGGAACGCAACATAGTCTCGATTATTGAGTTAACCTTTATGCGATTCCCACAGAGGAATTAAGGAAGTGGCGCGTTTATCTTTTTCGCCTAGCATAGGTTCTAAAGGCAATATTCGAGATACTTTTCCGAAAATTTAGAGACGAACTAGGAGTCTGGTTTCAAACAACTTTTTAATCGGGTTAGCTCTCTTGGAGGAGATACATACTCAGATTGCATAAAAGCAAGCCTAAGTATGCCACGTCTGAGGAGAACAAGTATCGCCCAGAGAATCGAAGCTAATAGACGACGGGTGCAAGCTCATCGGTAAAGACAGGAAGATTCTATATTTTATTCATTTGATCTTCGAAACATTACAGGGTATAATGAAAGTATGATTGAAGTAGCCCATGAGTTTGATGAGGAAATGTCAAGTATCAGGTTAATGACCTGCGAAAATTGCAAACGCTGCTATCCTGATATAATAAATGCTGGATTCGACTTTTGTACAATTTGTTCGGATCCAAATAAACTATCAAGATTTACATCAGCGAATTTTATGGATCCAGGAGAAGTACCTCAGGAGCTCGTAGGACTAACATACATTGAGCAAATGCTCATCGCCCGAATACACCCTGTCGTCTCGTTATACAAAATCAGAGGAGCTCAATATGCGTACACTGGAAATGTGATAAATTTTCGTCAGGACATATCACGTCTTGCAAAAGATTTGCCCCACAGGCCTTCAGATCTTCCATCAACGATTGTTTTTAATCGTGATACATCAAGAGGTTTCGTTAAATTTCGGGCATCAGCAAGTAAATTACGCACAGCTCTTATTTGGTTAAAAGCCAACAATCCATTTTACGCAGACATTACCATCAGTGAAAACAATTTGTCAGTGATTCCTGAAAATGGCGACATAAGTGGCCAGTTAGCTCAACTTACGGTGGATAGTACAATTCCTGAAAATAGCGACATAAGTGGCCGGTTAGCTCAACTTACGGTCGATAGTATGGAACAAAATGATGATAATGAAGAAAGCAATATCGACGACAGCTATATAAGACTACTTCATCATTTAGACCAGGAAGCTGTTTTAAACCGTGAGATCCACATGAGGTATCCAAGTACAGAAAGTGAGCCAATTAACGAATTTCCAACAGAAGGCTATGTCATTATAGCTTTTCCGACACTGTTTCCATATGGCACATGTGATCTACTTAATCCTAACAGACGCGAAGTATCCTTCGATTGTTATTTTAAGTATTTAATGCTTTATAAGGACGGCCGCTTTGCCAAAGATGCACGATTTAGATTTTTTGCAATGAATACGGTTCTTAGAAGGTTCGCTATTCAGCGGTCAAATATATTCATCCGCAACCATGGATTAGGGCGCTTATCACTTTCTGACATAAGACAAAGGGTTCGAAACAATCCAGCTTTTTTAAATCAAATCATGGTCTATTGCTCCAGTCTTCGCTCAACAAAACCATATTGGCGATTGAGATTCTCTGAACTTTCAGCCATGGTAAACCAATTGGGTTTGCCAACGATATTTTTTACTCTTTCTGCTGCCGATTATCATTGGCCAGATTTGTTTTCTTTGCTTGCACCTGGCACGGATCCAGCGTCTTTATCGGAGCGGCAGAGACGAGACCTAATGCACGAGAACCCACTTCTGGTTGCGTATTTTTTTCAGAGAAGCTGTGATGTTTTTATCAAAAAAGTCTTACGTCCGGTCTTTAAGGTAGCCGACTACTGGTCAAGATTTCAGTGGCAGTGGAGAGGAAGTCCCCACATCCACGGACTATTATGGCTTAAAGATGCCCCATCTATTGACGAGATGAGGTTAACTGAAAGTTTAGCGCTACGAATTAAAGAGTATTTTGACAACAAGGTCTTGGCAATCAACCCTTTTAGGAGTTTACCCCCCGCATCTGTTCATCCATCACGTAAACGCTTCTCAGATATTGATAACGAAAATTTAAACACTGATTTAGGGCACCTGATCAATAAGTTTCAAAGACACACGCGATGTGATTGAAGAAATTGTCTTCGACACAAGCAAGGACAAAGAAATCTCACGTGTCGATTCAATTTTCCAGCGCAGTTACAGTCGGAAAGTACGCTTGACTGTAGCGAAGGCTATTTACGTTACCTACCTAAAAGAGACGATCCTCTTATTTGCCGCTACAACCCCTTCGTAACACAAGTTTGGCGCGGCAACACTGATTTTTCTCCTGTTACAAGCAAAATGGCGGCACTAAACTACATTGCAAAGTATGCTTCGAAAGGGGAACATGCCTCAACTGCATATCTTGACCTTTTGAACACACTTATAAGTGAGCATGAGGACAATTCTCCCGCTAGAACTGTCATTACAAAACTTCTTATAAGTACTGTTGGTGAGCGTGACTATTCGGCTCAAGAGGTTGTGCATATTCTCGTGGGCTGGTCACTTTATTCGTCATCAAGAAATTTTGTGACACTTAATGTAACAGAAGATGATTGGATTCCAGTTACACAACGCATTGATGACCACGAGGCTAGAACGTCCGAAACCTTAATTCAAAAGTACAGAAAACGACCACCTGCATATGAATATATCTCTCTTCTGAATTTTGTCAAAAAGTACAATGTTGTAGGAAGCAGAATCGTTGAAAGGAGACAGGTAGCTGTAGTCAGAATATTTCCGATCTTGAACCTATGCGGAGAATCCGAAAATGATCAGCGCTATTATCTGCAGCAATGTATCCTCCACATTCCATTTCGTGGTACTTTTGCGCAAATACTCGCAGAAAGCCAGCTTCCAACGTGGTTAAACTTGTTTGAACACCATAGATTAACCTTACAAGAAAATCTCGATTTTCCTCAACCAGGAGATGAAGGAGAAGTTCCAAGAGAACAAAATGTTGACGATGTGAGGGAACCATATATGATCGCCGCCATGTTTATGAATAACGGAGATAATCCTGCTCTTGGGAGACGACTAGAGGATTTAATTGAAGAGTGGGGTACCACAGACGAGTTTTTTTTCTACAAATGAAGTTGCAGAATTTTTGGCGACATACAAAAATCAAGGAGTAAACGAAGATCCTGAAGCGTCAGAGGAGAGCAGTATCGTGTTTACTCAGGACCAGCAAAATGTTCTTGACATTCTTAGAAGACAAATAAGATGCATAACGTCTGGTCACTGAGAAGTTGGTCTCCCGAAGAGGGTTGCTGTTCAGGGAAAAGCAGGTTCAGGTAAAAGCACTATCATCAAAGAAATAGTTCGCATCACTTCTGAAACTCTCGGCGAAGACTATACAAGAGTATGCGCTCCCACTGGTGTAGCCGCAATTAACATTGAAGGAACGACTGCTCACTCACTCTTTAGGCTACCACTGTGCGCATCTGCCTACAAGCCACTAACAGGGGCCAGTGCAAGATCTTTTCAAAACGAGCTAAAAAATTTAAAGGTTTTGATAATCGATGAAATGTCAATGGTCGGAGCAAGCCTTCTTGCCGTAATTGAGAAAAGATGCAGAGAAATTAGTCCTGAATCATATCAAAGGAATAATTTAGATGAAAACAACATCCCATTTTTTGGTGATTTGATTGTTTATCTTTTCGGGGACTACAGACAACTCCCACCTGTGATGGACACGCCGGTTTATGCAAAAACATTTCGGACGGCGCTAGCGCTAGACGGAAAGCTTGCTTTCGACTCTTTTACAATGTTTATACAACTTTCACATTCGCACCGTCAGCGAGAAGGTACAAGTCACTTTAGAAATTTGTTAGACCGTCTAGGAGATAGAAAGTTTAGTCCAGACGATTACCAACTACTTATAAGCAGACGGACTTCAATGCTTTCAGTAGCTGAAAGACAGGTTTTTAAAGATAATGCGATACGACTTTACCCTAGAAATGGGATGGTAACAGAGGGGAACGAGCAGAGGTTAGCTGCGACAAACTTTCGTGTAACACTTATATCATCCCACAACGAGCCTGATATCGCCACAAACGCCTCTGAAGATAAAGCGCTCGGATTACCGTCTGTGCTAAAACTCTCTGTCGGTGCAAGGGTTATGCTTCGCATAAATTTATGGGTCAAAGGTGGACTTGTGAGCGGCTCATTAGGAACAATAGCGGCAATTGTTTATGAAAACAATGAGCGTCCTCTTCTTTTGCCAGCTTATATACTTGTGAAATTCGATAATTACAGTGGGCCTTTCCTGGGTGATAGAACATTTCCGATCGTGCCAATAACACGGTCTTTTAATGTGAAATGACAGTCGTGTAGACGGCGACAGCTTCCAGTTAACCTCGCCTACGCCGTTACAATTCACAAGTCAGAAGGTTTGACGCTGCCTAAAATATCAGTCGATATTGGTGAAGGAGAAATGTCCCCTGGCTTGACATATGTCGCACTTTCAAGAGCAAAAAGACTCGAAGACATCGAATTACTCTCATATCCATCTTGGGAGCGTCTTGACTTGATAAGAAGGCAAAGAGGATTTAGAGAGAGAATTGAGTTTATCAAATCAAAATGGAGCTCTGAGGAGGAACAAAGGGGATAATAAAAATTGTTAGTTAATAGAAAAATTTATCTAGATAACTAAATTCAATATTGTTTGTCTTCATTAAACTGATGAATCGAAGCGACTGTATGTCGGCTTTGAGAGAATTTAATTTATTGTTATTAAAGTCTTGCTGTCAGCAGCGCCCTCACTGATTGTTTAAAAAATGAATATTTTCTTGATAAACCGGGAGTAAGTTTGCAAAAACATTTATTCGGTCAGCGTCAGTTACGCTTTGCCTCGCTCAGACTCCACTGTGAGCAGTACTCCTAATTAGATTAAGTCATTGGGGAAATTCCGGAAGTATCGTGAAATGGAAAGATCGCTTCTCGATCTTTCTAAAAGCCACACTCGGCAGGTCACTGAACCTGACCTGGGGGATTGGTACCGCGCAAGCCACAATTTAGTTTTTCAGTCTCGCGAAAGCCGTTGCCAATATTGTGCCTTCTCACGTCTCGATTTCGTATTCCCATTGTTACGGGAGCAGATCGAAAAGTGCATGTTTTGTCGTACCGGACATTTCGTAGTTTGTCGCGCTAGTTCCCGCCTTCTCTCTCTAGACGGTCGTCGATACAGAATCGATTCGTGCGTAAGAATAAGTCGCGACGCGTGTAGTTTAACCACTTGCGGTGGAAAAACGTGCTACGCATGTCGAGATGCTTTTGTTACCGGAACGCCAGCGACGTTTTACGCACGTCGTCGGGCGATTGTTTGGGCGATTGCTACAGAAAAATAAATGACGTGCATGGCACGTCCACTGTTGAATGAAATTCTTTACCGAAGCACAGTTTCTGCTTGCTCTTCATCGTGTAAAGTTAGCAGTGTTGACCCCAGACTGTAAAATGGAATATGATAGCGAAGCCAGTGATGTTATTTATATAAATAACCGCGCCGCGAAGTGATTTCCGCTCGACTGTTCTTGCACGCACAACCGAGAATTCCCTTACACCGCAAATGGTTAAGTACGTTGGATTCCGTTGCGTTTAGAATAATTGCGTTTCGTCGCGCTTTGTCGCGACTCGTCTCGTCGAGTTTTGTCGCGTTACATTTCGTTAGGATAATTGCGTTGCGTTTCGTTTAGTTACTAGTGTTGCGTTATAGATAATTGCGTCGCGTACCATTCCGAGAATCGGCACTAAATCGACGACTGTATCGCGCTTAGGAATTGGCATTTCCCATTTCCGGGGCTAGAATCACGCGAATCTCGGACATCGGCCATTCGCTGAGTATAAACGATCTAATTGGTTGCCGGTATCCGGGGTCATACTGTTCGTCGCTTAGGTTAATTAGATTTAAATAAACAGCGCTGCTTTTAACAAATACTGCTGAGTCGAAGTCTCTTACGAATTATCCCGAGATATTCTCTCTCATCCGCCTCCGCGTCTAGCTCCCTTACCCTTGAAGAATCCCGCTACTCTACCATCCCGTTCGGTTACTGAGCTGCCGAGCCGTTCCGCCGCTGATTCGAGTCTTTCGCGTTTTCCGGGATTGACTTCCGCGATTGTCCTATCTTTCCATCGTAGAATCTTGTCTCGCGTCAAAGTTCCTTATCGCGACACTAAGAAGCGTCTGGCGCCCAATTAAGAAATAAATTAAAGCGATATTGAATGGAGTCGAATCGGGCACCGAAGTGCTACTCGTCCGCGAATCCTCGTCTTTTTCGCACATCGCATTGGTGTGAGAGAAATGACGACTCGATTTTCGTAGATTCGACTTTAACGCTTGAATATTGCGAAAATAAAGTTTTTACGAGTACAGCGGCCATCAGTGGACTTCCCTACAGGCCGCTCTGGTCGTTTTAGATAGTAATAAATACTATGTACAGAATAAAGTCGAATTTTATGCAAACAAGATGGCCGCCGCGGGACACTCGCCTTAACCTAGATAAGAAATATGACTTCAGTTGCTCATTCAGCCAGCTTCAGTGTTAGCGGCAGCAAACCTGCTGTTCTAATGGCACACACTGTGGCAAAAGAGTTTCACATAGCTGGCATTACAGCTAAAGAGTTTCTTGGCAAACATACTGGAATGGACTTTAACCTTACTGAACTGAGACGAACATTCGAGACTTTAAGACTTTGTTCAAAAGTCATCTATGAAGTTGGACCTGAATCACGTAAAGTCCAGAAAGGGACTGAAGTGTGATAAAGTGTGGAAATTTATTTTCAAGGTGGGAGAGATCAACCATTGCGTCTTCATAGCTACCTATAAACAGGAAAATGCTGAGTTCCGACCCGATAATACTCCAAATACCATGATCCTCTCACTTACATAAGCTGCTTTACTGGTTCATGAGACTTTAGCAAGGCTTGTAATAATCGACCTAAATAATGATAAGATGCTGTTAACACCATTAGCAGGAGCTTGTTTCTGTAAAGAGGACCTTGGTAACTTAGCTAATGAACAAACATACTGGAATGGACTTTAACCTTACTGAACTGAGACGAACATTCAAGACCCACTGTGATGATTATATGGAAGACCTCCATACTGACATGAAATCAAAGGCAGTAGAATTTTGTTCAAAAGTCATCTATGAAGTAGGACCTGAATCACTTAAAGTCAGGAAACGGACTGAAGTGTGATAAAGTGTGGAAATTTATTTTCAAGGTGGGAGAGATCAACCATTGCGTCTTCATAGCTACCTATAAACAGGAAAATGCTGAGTTCCGGCCCGATAATACTCCAAATACCATGATCCTCTCACTTAAATAAGCTGCTTTACTGGTTCATGAGACTTTAGCAAGGCTTGTAATAATCGGCCTAAATAATGATAAGATGCTGTTAACACCATTAGCAGGAGCTTGTTTCTGTAAAGAGGACCTTGGTAACTTAGCTAATGAATTAGGAATTGAAATTAGGGTCCTACTTATTAAAATTAATCAAAGTACACAAGGTGCAGGTCATTACCTATCTAACAGTGATATTGATGTGGCTATTTGTGCAGCATATGCTGCTACGAAAAATGTAAAAGATGAAAATCTTAAAAAGAGTATTGTAGTCAAGATGATCAAACAATACATGACACAAGGACAACAACCAGATAAGGAAAGAATTAGAATTATTAGTCGATTTGCTACTGGAGGTATAGCAGATTTTTCCTGTGAGACCATAAGTGAATTAATTAATACAGAGTAAAGAACTTATGCTGCTTTAAAGTTGAAGAGGATGGAACAGGAAACAATGCTTAGGACAATAGTAGATGCGCCTGGTAGTAGCCAATGAAGTGCAAGCCAAGACATCATCACTTTGCCAAAAGCAGTAACATCAGAGACATCACAATTAGAATATTTTTCTGCATCTGACCATGAGTCTGAATTCTCTGATGATACTGATTTTAGCAAAACTGAAGCTTCGGATTTTGAGCAATCAGACTTGGACATTACTATTGACATGCAAGGTCCACCTAAGAGGAGACCTGTAAGACAGTCTATAACAATGAAAGAACTTATGAAAAGACATTTGAGGTACCCTAGATCTAATAAGGTTTATTCTGTAAGCTACAATTATATAAATAAGTGCTTTCGTGGTCATCCTGCTATACTAGGGAGAACACCCAGAAAGTGCAAATTAGTCAACTATAAGTTAAAATTGTTAGAATGTAATGTGTGTGGTGGTGTCTTCAAGGCTTCCAGCGATCAATTTTCATTATTTAAGTTATATTATAAAAAACAGGTTTATAACAATTTTGGTTCAAAATATAATATTAAAGATGCTAGTAAATACAGCCGTATTACGCGTTAGGTTTAATAAGTTCAATTTGATTTCTTGTTTAGAATTTCTGTTTATAATTTACAGTAGTTAATAGTTTGCATAATAAATGTTAAAATATTGGGTAACCTGCATAATCCTATATTTTAAGTTTCTTGATTTTCTGCATAAGGCAGTTTAGTTTAATGACTTGACAATTATTTTATTGTGAAATTTTCTATATCCTCACATTCCTATATTAATATCTCTTTATTATCTGTGTGAATGAAAGTGTGAGATTGTATTTCTGTGTTTGATGTGTGTGTATGTAAATAAAGGTTAGCGGAATTAGATAGGAATGTACATAGCAGGATGTTCAGGTTAAGATAAAGGGTGAACTTGAGGACCTATGAGTAAAGGAATGTGAAACTTATGCTATCTTATTTATAACGCACGCGGGACTATGTCTTATAACTAATTATATCAGAAACGCAATATATACAGGGTGTCCCGCAATTAGTGTAGGACCCGAAAAGGGGTGGTAGGTGGGGCGATTCTGAACAACTTTTTCCTTTGCCAAAATATTGGTTGAGGCTCC